TCTTGCCTCAGCCTCCCGAGTGGCTGGGACTACAAGTGCCCGCCATAACACCTGGCTATTTTTTGTTGTTATTGTTGTTGCAGTTTGGCGGGGCCGGGTTCAACCCTGCCACCCTCGGTATATGGGGCCAGCACCCTACTCACTAAGCCACAGGCTCTGCCCCCCTCTTTTTTTTCCTTTTTGAGACAGTCTCACTTGGTAGAGTGCTGTGGTGTCATAGCTCACAGCTCTTGGGCTCAAGTGATTCTGTTGCCTCAGTCCCCTCCCAAGTAGCTGGGACTATAGCCCGCCACAGTACTGGGCTATTTTTAGAGATGAAGTCTCACTGTAGCTCAGGCTGGTCTGAAACTCGTGACCTCAGGCCATCCACCTCCGCCTCCCAAAGCGATAATATTGTATTAAAAGAAGTTAATCACAAAGACACTGTTATTCCTCTTATTTCTTACATAGCCTTAAGTTGTCATAATTTTCATATAATCTTATAAAACCTCAAGTACCTAAAGCCGTTAGTTCAAATTTAGTACCTTTGATAAACTCTAAATGTGTAATCCTTAATCTTTCCAGACTAAAAGGAAGAACTTGGATGGAATATGGTTACAGTTTGAGGAAACTGATTAAAACTGTATCAGAATCCAAAAGGGGAAATGAAAGCCACAAAGCTCTGCTTACCTTCTCAGTGGAGTTTGTCCTAGCAGTTTATACAGTTCCCCTAATTCACATTTACTTCCTGGGCACAGTACCGTCTAGATTTTCTCTTCCTTATTTAAAGTTGACTATTATAGAACAGGCCAGAGCCTTTCTAATAATACTGTGTTTTTTTCTAAAGAAGGTTCTGAATTTGTGCCTTGGCAGGCATATTAGAATGTTTGTGACTTATCATTAACTACAGAAATATTTTTTTAAATGTGGTCCAAGAGATAATGGTTGTCAGCTGCTATAAAGATGTGCTTATCACTTAAAAGGGCTAATTAGTAGTACTATAGGGAAACTTCTTTAAAGGCAGCCATTTTTCTTAAAAGAAAAACAATGGAGAGAAAATTAAACAGGAAAGATTTTATAATACCTTACAAAAGTTCAGTGTGATTATCCTACTGGAATAATATAATTATGGGGAATTAAATGAGTTGGATAAGTAACTTTTTTTTAAACTAGCCCCTTGAAAAGGAATAGAATTAAGTGGATAGTTTTTTGAGACAGTCTCATTTTGTCACCCTTGATAGAGTGCTGTGGCGTCTTAGTTCACAAGTAAACCTTTGGGTTGGGCTTAAGTGATTCTCTTGCCTCGGGCCTCCCAAGTAGCTGGGACTACAGGCAAAGGATGGATGAGGCTAGGTGTGGTGGCCTGGAATGCCATCCTAAGAAATAGCTGATGACCATGGAGAACCACCACATATTTTGAGCAGGGAACAGAGGATCTGATGTGAACTTTACTATTTTATTTTATTTTTGAGACAGAGTCTCACTATGTTGCCATCAGTAGAGTGTGGTGCCGTCACAGCTCACAGCAACCTCAAATTCTTGGGCTTAAGCGATTGTCTTGCCTCAGCCTTCCAAGTAGGTGAGACTACAGGCGACCACCACAACACCCTATTTTCTTGTTGCATTTGTCATTGTTATTTAGCATTCCTGGGCCGGGTTTGAACCCACCAGCCCTGGTGCCCTAACCACTGAGCTAAGGGCGCCAAGCCTGATGTGAACTTTAGTTTCTCTCTTGTCAAATTAAAACAGAAAGCAAAGACTGGGTCTTTTGTTTTCTTCGTATAACATCATGCCAATTCTAGCCTATTAGGACAAAGTCAATAATAATTAATAGCTGTTGATGAAGCCTGTCATACTAGAATTGATTTTTTAGTAAGCTGGATAACAAAATTGACATAAATTTAGGGCTTTTTTTTTTTAAAAGAGTAAGTGTTAAGACGATTTTCATAGCCTTCTATGTTCCTCATGCAACCAATAGGTGTGGTCAGCAGATGATTTAGTTCTTACCATAAAGAATGTGGTAGCTGATTGGAAAAAAAAATTGCAGTGCTTCTGTCTTAATGAGAGAACTTGAGTTGTCTAAGGAAATAAGAGGTCACAGATGGCCTAGTGGGGAAAAACACAATGAGTCTAGTTCCAGCTGACAAAAATTTACTCTAATGATTTGACCAGCTGAGGACTGGGCAAGTTCCCGAGTTCACAGACCCAGATGTTCTAATTTGTAAATGCAAACCGACTTCTTTATCAGCCTTCTGGGGAAATCTTCAGAACTGTGAACCTGCTGCCTTCAGTAATCTTTCTATCTAGAGCTCCAGGCTGCTCCTCAGATGAAATTTCAGAAACCCTTCACTGTAGCTTCCTGGGTAAGGGCTTCAGAGGAGGCCCAGGTAGCCGCTGTGGGGGAATGAAGTTTATCTGCCCTCAGTGATCAGCACTTGATTTAAGACAATCAGTGGGGTGCCTCATCTTTTCTAGGTTGCTGTTGATTGCAGCTGGCTCAGGCAGAGTTGTTTGGGAAATACGAGTTTTGCCTAGCGTGAGTCAGCACTGCCCGGGTAAACTGCCTGCTCTGTTGCAATCTTGCTTACCAAAGAAACGTCCCCAGGCGGCACCATTCACTTAGCCTGAAAGCTGCTGCTCTTGGTTCCTGAGATGATCTCATCTGAACACGGCTCCAACGACTTCAGCTACAGGAACTCGAGGCAGCTTGCTGTCTGCCTGGGCAATGTTTTGAAACAGGCAAAATCAGGTAACCCCAGACAGTTTTGTTAGTTTGATTGATTAGGTTAAAAACTGGGAGAATCCTCAGAAGTGAGTCAGCGCCTTATCAATTTGAGTGTCTTAAAGTGAGCCCTTCCCTGCTTTAAAGGAGTACTTAAGGGGAAAATTTTTGCTTTATTTGGGATGTGGATGTGGCTTTAGACCTAATTAGACCATTGCTTATATAAACATTAGGGAAGTCAAACATGTTAGTCTTACAGATTTCTCCATCTTTTGCTCTTGTATTTTCTGTTCTTTTTGTGTCTTGTGAGAAACAGTTTAGTCAAAGTAAACCATCATTAAAGAAAAAGAGGTGAAGGTATTATTCACTTACCTACATGGCAACTGAGTATTGCCACTGCACGGGGCTCAACTTTGTAACTCTTCATCTAAGCAGCAGAATATCCTCTCTCTGGGTAGTCACCCCACCCCTTCAAAGTTACGCTTCTGCTCCTTTCAGTTCCACCAAATGGTCCGTGTTCTCTTTCAGCTCAGACTTTTGGATATGAGCCTTCTCTCGAATACCTTGCCCCAGCCTAACTTGGCCAACTGGTTTCAGCCTAGAAGTGACTTATTCCACAAAACCTCTTATTTATCAGGATCATGTGGGTACTCAGGAGAGCCTGTATTTACTCCAGTCACAGGGTATATTGAGAACTGGGATCTTTTCTGTTAGAATTATATCCGTGGTACTTGGCACATAGTAGTTTCTCAGTAAAGTAACAGAATGAGGAAGAACCTATACTGTACATGTACTTTCTCAACTTTGATCCTTTTACCAACCTTTTGTTATTTCGGCTTCTGCCCCTATTTCCTCATCATGCTTTCTGAAAGTTCAGTGTTAGACTTTTTTTTTTGGGGGGGGGACAGAGTCATTATGTCGCCTTCGGTAGAGTGCTTGGCGTCACAGCTCACAGCAACCTCAAACTCTTGGGCTTAAGTGAGTCTCTTGCCTCAGCCTCCTAGGTAGCTAGGACTGTTGGCAGCCCTGGTGCATGTGGCAGGCACCCTACCCACTGAACTAAGGGAGCTGAGCTGGCAGTAGACTCTTAATTACCAATCCCAGTGTCCCACTTTCAACCTTCCGTTATCTCTGCCTAGCATTTAACAACTGCTGATCCTTTTTTCCCTAGCAACTCTCTTCATTTCTCTTCTGAGTTGCCAGAGTATCCTTCTGTTATTTCTTCTCCTTTTATCTATCTCACAAATGTTGAGATAGTCCAAGGTTTTAGCTCGGGTGTCTTTTTATTCTTCTCCCATTCTCTTCTTCTGAGGATCTCAAATATGCCTCATTATGTTTTATGAGCCCAGCTCTCAAACGTCTATCCTTGGCAAACTTTGTCTTAACTTGACAAACCAGGGTATTCGAAAGGCATTTTAGGGTTGGCGCCTGTGGCTCAAGTGGCTAAGGCGCCAGCCACATACACCTAAGGTGGTAGGTTCGAATCCAGCCCAGACCCTCCAAGCAACAATGACGGCTACAACCAAAAAAATAGCCGGGCGTTGTGGCGGGCACCTCTGGTCCCAGCTACTTGGGAGGCTGAGGCAGGAGACTCGCTTGAGCCCAGAAGTTGGAGGTTGCTGTGAGCTGTGATGCCATGGCACTCTACCCAGGGGGAACAGCTTGAGGCTCTGTCTCAAAAAAAAAAAAAAAGGCATTTTAAATTCAAGAGGTACATAGCTGAACTTACTATCTCACCTACCCAGTATCTGTTTGCTTGTTTTGCTGTCTGTTTGAACTCTGTGAGTCTTATCTACCACTGGTCAGATACCTTCCTGGTCATCCTTTTTAGTGCTTACATCTTTTAAATATGCTAAACCTATGTTTGCTAAACCCTGTTGATTATATTGGAATACTGTTCTATGTGTGGTTTTTCTTCACCCCCACTTAATTTACCTTACCAGAGGTCAAAAACTAGACCTTTTGTTTAACCAGCCCATGGCTTAAAATTTTGTGAATACTTAAGGGGCCGCATTCTTCCAAGATTTCAGATCCCATCATTCTCTGGGATCTAACGTAACATTTTACCTATGTTGCGTCTAGGAATTTGAGGGTGTATCTCCTGGTTTAGACCCTTATCAAATGGTCTTCTCCCATAGTAAGTCTTTCCTTGCTCCTATCCTCTCCTTATTGTTGCACAAGTTATCTTCCCGAAGGCCTAGTCTAATCATTTCATCCAGGGAAAATAGGGAACCAATGTTTTGGTTCCTGTTTCCTACTTGGCTTGATTTGTAAAGCCCTTAACAGTTTGATCCTATCTTACTTGTTCCTTCTGTCCCTCACCCCCAGCCTTTTCTCTCCTATGCAGCTTCACTAAACTTCTCCTTTTTTCTTCATTCTTTGGTTATACCATGTTCTTTTAGGACTCTGCCTTTTCTCAATGGCTTCCCCTTCTGTGACTGGTAGAATACTCATCCCTCAGGAGTCTTAGTTTATATATGAATCTTTTCTGGCATCCCCAAGTATAGTTCTTCTTCCTTATTTGTATTTTTATAGCACTGTCTGTTCACTACACTGTTGAGTTTCTTAACTGAACTTGATGTTGCTGGTCTAGAGCCTGGCCCTATCAGAGACAGGGTCTCCGGGGTCAAACTGCGATTCTCAGTGTCTTTATTAGTCTTTGCAATATTAGAATATACATCAGCTATTCTGTTACGTGGCATGCTTTTGGTTCATATTTGATAAACTTCAGCCCAGGAGTGCGTATTCCATATGTGTCACCTGAAGCCATTAGGTAGCCATTCAACATTAATTTGAAAATTTAAAGGGCTTGCTAAAATCTAGCCCCACGATATTACCTAACATTTTCATAGTGTTTTACAAAATTACTTACCTTATTTGATACCCATAAAAACCCTGTGTTAGGTAGGCTTTATTATCCCTATCTTACCAGTGGTTATAGAGCAAGTTCTGACATTGAAGCATACATTCAGGTAAGATGCAGAAAGAAACTTTTTTTTTTTTTTTTTGGTGAGACAGAGTCTCACTTTGTTGCCTGGGGTAGAGTGCTGTGGCATCACAGCTCACAGCAACCTCAAACTCTTGGGCTCAAGTGATTCTCTTGCCTTAGCCTCCTGAGTAGCTGGGACTACAGGTGCCCAGCACACCACCCAGCTATTTTTTAGAGATTGGTCTAGTTCTTGCTCAGGCTGGTCTTGAACTCCTGAGCTCAAGCTGTTTGCCCACCTTGGCCTCCCAGAGAAAGAAGCCTATTTGTACATTGTATTAAGCAACTGGTTTGTCTTTGTAGTTAAGTATATTTCCTACTGGGTTCCACAGAAATGCTGCCTTTGCTCAACAGGCAATTGCTAAAGATCTTGCCTTTTCAAGGCTATCTAATCAAGGCAGAAGGAGGAGGTACCCAGAGCCTGCCTGGCCTATGGAAAGGCCCTGGTTGTGGTCGAAGACATTGGTTGTAATTAACAGTGTGCCCAGTCTAATCGTTCATGTTTTTATGTTGTACTTCAAATATCTGGAATTTGTTGAAACCTATTGCCTCAGCGTTGTGTCAAACCAGGCTCATGAATGAACGCAGTCATCACGAAATGGAGTACGCTGAGTGTTAAGAGTAGGAAAGCTGTCATAGTGATTCTAGGAAGTGATTAGCTTTGTTGAGTACTTCACAACTTTTGGAGTACAAAAATGCCTTATTTGGGACTTTGTGAAATTTGGTACAGAAAGATGGCTCGTTAGGGCTAGGAAATAATCTTCGTTAGATACTGGTATATGGCATTCAGTTTTGATCCCCTTACACTTAAGAGGATAATCAAAGATGATTAAAAGGTTGAAAAATAGGTCCTATCATTATAAGTTTTTAAAAAGGAAAGATTTTAGCCTAGAGAAGGAAAAGCTAAGGGATAGCTCGATTACCATCTTCAAGTATAAAAACAGTTTTTGCCAGGGGGATTTTGATTCATTATTCTTCATGAACTTCAAAGATTCAAGAGGAAATGGTCTTAAATTGAAGGAGGAGTAATTTTGATGAATACAAGGAAGACGTTTTTGATCATCAAAGTTGGAAAACATTTGAATGACTGCTCAAAAGAATATTGAATTTCTTTTTTTTTTTTTTTTTTTTAAGAGTGCAGCGGTTTGATGATCGCTAGCTGCAGCCTCCAATGCTAAGGTGATCCTTCCTTGTCAGCTTCCCAATAACCTAGTACTATAGGTGTGCACCACCATACCCAGCTAATTTTTTTTTTTTTTTGAGACAGAGTCTCACTATGTTGCCCTCAGTAGAGTGCTGTGTCATCACAGTTCACAGCAACCTCAAACTCTTGGGTTTAAGTGAGAGTCTACCATGCCCGGCTATTTTTGTTGCAGTTGTCGTTGTTTAGCTGGCTCAGGCTGGGCTTGAACCCGCCAGTCTTGGTGTATGTGGCTGGCACCATAACCACTGTGCTATGGGCTCCAAGCCAGCCCAGCTAGTTTTTTTTTATTATTATTATATTGTATAGACAGGATCTCACTGTGTTACCAGGTTAGTCTCAAACTCCTGGCCTTTAAGTAATCCTACCTTGGCCTCCCAAAGTGCTGGGATTATAGTCATGAACCACGGCACCCAGTCGAGTGTTATAGTTATCTATTACTGTATAAAAAATTACCCTAAAAATTTTCTTTTTTTGTGAGACAGTCTCACTTTGTTGCCTTTGATAGAGTACCATGTGTCATGGATCACAGCAACCTCAAAGTCTTGGGCTTAAACAATCTCTTGCTTCAGCCTTCCAGAGTAGCTGGGACTACAGGTGCCTGCCACAGTGCTATTTTTTGAGATGGGGTCTTGCTCTTGATCAGGCTGGTCTCAAACTCCTGAGCTCAGGCGATTTACCCTGCCTTGGCCTCCTGGAGTGCTAGGATTACAGGCACAAGCCACCACCTCCAACTTTACCCTAAAACTTTTTTTTTCTTTTGTTTTTTGAGACAGAGTCTTGCTTTGTAGCCCTCAGTAGAGTGCTGTGGCATTACAGCTCACAACAACCTCAAATTCT